TGAATATTCAAAATATTTTTTCTTCAATATATATATATATAATATATATATACATATATACTCGCCTAGTCGTCGGCGTTCAACGCGATTCCGCTCGACGACGTATTTCCTGCTTATTCCAGAACGCGAACGTCATTCGCCGCGTCTTGTGTAAATACCTGTCGCGGTTTTCCTTTATCGTTCGCGATGCGAACAGAGTGAAAATTTAATTACAACAGGTGCCTCGCCGGTATAATTTCGACGCTGTTACATGGCTCGATCTCGTGATATCGTCGAAAGATTTGTATCTATCGACGTTCCCTTTAAAAAAGGAGAACGTGACTTCAGTGAACGAATTCTCATTGGTTTTGTGAAAGCCAGAAAGATTTCGGTAAAAAAGGAAGAAAGAGAGATACAATTGTGTCAACGTTCGCGATACTTTGATGGAATTCTTGCGTAACAGAGATTTCCCTTGTTTGTTCTATCATTTATAAATCATATATACTTTCGTATTAATATATTTGCGCAATTTCAACAGAGCGATATCAAATGCAGCCAAGTGTATGTGTATTAACATCTGTATTATATATTCAATAAAGATATATATATCTGAACAGAGCGCGTTAGCGCTCTATAAACGCTCGAACGTAACAATTATTAACGCAACACATCGACCCTCTCATCGAGAGTACAACGGCGAATTTTGGTAAAATCTCGAGCAGTAGCGGTGCTTGTCCGGAATATATAACTCGTAGTCACATAGTGTTGTTTCTTTGAAAAGACGTTCGTTTCCGACAACACAGCGTTTCCCATCACCGGTATACGTACGTGCGCGCGGGATACGCGCCATCGGTGTAAATATTGAACAAGTGACGTAATTAGTTGCGCGAGGCATGATAATAAGCGGGGACGTCGTTACTCGTCGGCGCGCCTTGCGATCAGATAACGCATACGAAATTGTTCCTCTTTTCGAGGTCGACGCACCATTCGTATCTGCTAAGGAAGAGCCTGATAAAAGATTCAGTTCAGATCTGTCGTCGTTGCCGGCCTCTCGTCATCACCCGAATTCCCGCTGGCGGAAACGATCGAAATGGAGGTAAGTCTCTCTCTCTCTCTCTCTCTCTTATTTCCAAAACATTACATACTTCGACATCTTTGGAATAAACAACTCCGGACTCTTTGTATATTATGAAAGATTGTTCAGGCGATGTTTGAAAGAGCTGCCTGTTTGAATTCTCTTTCTGACGCTTCCTGCAACTTAAAATGAAATATATGTGAATATTTTGATTGGAGAATCGTGATAAAAAAAAAAGAATTATAGAGGAAAATACAAAACGTGACTCTAAGTATAATAAATCGAAGTATAATAAATCTAGTGTCATGAATCTGTAATCTTAATATTCAACGGAATGGCAATTGCATAAAATGTGGATTTATAAAAGAGTAAAGTTTATTTTTTCCAAACTTATTTCATAATTTATTTCATTATATTTTAATTTTATTATATTCCTAAGTTTTTCTTTTTAAATTAACTTAACAAAAAAAAACAAATAAATAAATAAACATAAATGCGAATATGTATTTTACTATTAAATAGAGGAAAAATAAAAGATAAAATATTTTTGGAGATACAACTAATTGTAAACGAGAGATACTTATATATAAAAATATTAATATTATAGAGAGCTAGCTCTCTCTTCGAAAAGACTGGGATTCTGGTCGGCAAGAATTAATTTCAGATCACATTGACGCGTGTAACATTGTGACGCGGTGTTTACTCCGATACTATTCATTGAGACACTTGTGTGACATTGATATCTCGCATCTCTCTTTGCAACATCTTCTAAATAGTTACTAATTTGACATTTTTAATTGCGCAAACGGCACCATTGCGTCGCGTTGATTTGCATTCATAATATCACTAATTAATAAATAATGTAAGCAATTATATTAATAATAATTATAAGTAATTTTGAGACAATATAATTATATTATAACAATATCAGCTTTTAAAAGTTGTCATTTAAAATATATTAGTTAAAACGCTTTTATTAGTAATTTTAACTGCTTATTTATATTAAAATGTATGATTAAAGTCTTTAATTTAAGAGAAGTGTTTCTCTTCTGGGATATTATTTATTTTTATCTATATATAATATATTTCCAATATATTATGAAACGTTTTACAAAAGTTGAAAGGATCATTTAAGAATTGAAAGAAACGGATGTCATCTTTATTCGTAGAATACTAATTACTTCCTATTTATATGCATATTTTTGATATCATGCTAATTAGCATAATTCTTCGATGAATACATGTCTAAAATGGAAAACGTATCGCATCAATAAGAATTCTTGTGTGTGTGTATGTGTGGATAGAGAGCCTGATTGTTCCGAAATCGATTGATTTTGATCGTGATTCTATTCGATAATATTGTATGCGATCTAAAACTTATTACCAGAATGAGATGACCGCGTTTAACATTAAATACAGCATATGTAAATGTAAGTCTCTGTCTAAAAAAATAAATAAATAAACGGCAAGAATTAATTTCAGATCACATTGACGCGTGTAACATTGTGACGCGGTGTTTACTCCGATACTATTCATTGAGACACTTGTGTGACATTGATATCTCGCATCTCTCTTTGCAACATCTTCTAAATAGTTACTAATTTGACATTTTTAATTGCGCAAACGGCACCATTGCGTCGCGTTGATTTGCATTCATAATATCACTAATTAATAAATAATGTAAGCAATTATATTAATAATAATTATAAGTAATTTTGAGACAATATAATTATATTATAACAATATCAGCTTTTAAAAGTTGTCATTTAAAATATATTAGTTAAAACGCTTTTATTAGTAATTTTAACTGCTTATTTATATTAAAATGTATGATTAAAGTCTTTAATTTAAGAGAAGTGTTTCTCTTCTGGGATATTATTTATTTTTATCTATATATAATATATTTCCAATATATTATGAAACGTTTTACAAAAGTTGAAAGGATCATTTAAGAATTGAAAGAAACGGATGTCATCTTTATTCGTAGAATACTAATTACTTCCTATTTATATGCATATTTTTGATATCATGCTAATTAGCATAATTCTTCGATGAATACATGTCTAAAATGGAAAACGTATCGCATCAATAAGAATTCTTGTGTGTGTGTATGTGTGGATAGAGAGCCTGATTGTTCCGAAATCGATTGATTTTGATCGTGATTCTATTCGATAATATTGTATGCGATCTAAAACTTATTACCAGAATGAGATGACCGCGTTTAACATTAAATACAGCATATGTAAATGTAAGTCTCTGTCTAAAAAAATAAATAAATAAATAAAGCTACGAAATGTTACAGCCATTTATAGAAACAATATAGCTTTAGTAACTTGCTTTCTCAATAACGATTCATCTATAATACGGATAAAGAAAGAAAATTGTGATTTAATCAAAATTCTACGTAACCCAATGAATCTTGACACTTCGATCGTTGGTCCTATATTGATGAGTCCCAAATCTTATAAAACTTATCAATTTTATGTTTCTTATCAATTTTATGTTTCTCGATTTCAATCTCACAAATATATGCATATATTTTATAATTTATAACGCTAAAAAATGAATATATATGACAGTCGAAGTGTTAATTAAGGGAATCGTTTCGACCGGTATCGTTCCTCAAAGTAAGCGAAACTGGAGATGCACAACGAGAGAAGAGCGACGAAAGAGAGGTAAGAAGACTCGTGGCCCATTTCTTTTAGAAAGGAAACGGTGATTACAGTTAAGCCGTTGCCTCCATCAGCGTTCGCTCAGTTTTCTGGACAGCATTCCTGTGATCGACATTACGCTACAGCTGCTTACCTGGAAATTCTTTCGAGAAGCTCGGTACTGGTTGTGTGTTACATATTGCTTCTTTCTTGAGCTTTCATATGTCTTTTTTCACACGTCTTCTCGTCAACTTCTAATAGCAGTTTACTTGCTAGAAAGATACGGACTAGTAAAAATTGCCGGCATCTGATTACGAGCCCAGTCGATTGATGAAGGCAAAGTTTGCGTATGCATCCCTCTGAAATTGTAATAAATCTATAAAAGATACAAAAATCAATTTTTACTCCCTGAAGTGAAGGAAAGAGAAAGCAAAACAGGGATAAAAATAGGAAATTAAGATAAAAGTACAAATGGATTATGTATTTAGCAATATAATAATAAAAGAAAAACGTTCGATTTTTGCCGACAAGATTGCAATTTCCGTCTGTCTTTTTCGAGAAATGTGTCATTTTATCTGCCTGATTTTCGTCACTTTGCAATGACGTGTCGGGCAGTTGCAGAGAAACGCGATATAATTTTTTTTCAAAGATAAACTGTGATAACGCATCCGATATGCGATCGATACGAGTATATAACGTACATAGCAGATTATTGTTGCAGTAAGCGATTCTTTTTGTATCTCTGAAAAGTTTATTTCATCTTCCTGCTGTTGCGTCCGTAATTTCATTGAAAGTGTTTCAAGTATCATTATGTGAATGAAATACGCATCTGGAACAATTTAACTAGAATGCAGTCGATTCATTAATCAGTGTTAAGTTTTTCGAGAGAGATATATATGCGATAAAGAAGATATAGAATTTAAATACATTCAACGATAAATAATATAAAAAAGCTTAGACACGCGTTTTTCTGATTCATCAGCCAAAAGTTTTCTAGAAAACCTTTTCAATTTTAAATTTCTCAGATAAACCTCTAATTAAAATTAAAAAATTAATGTTGTCAGAGTAATAATGTCTCTTATATATCAGCGAATTTTATATATATCTTGTTAGAGAAAAATTAAGGATCAAACAAACGTGTCTTTTTAGATCTTTATGTAACAATCTTTCTTAATATATATTGCACACAGACGGAGCACAGGTTGGAGCAGTTGAGGAAGGCGACGGATAGAATACAAAAGGAAATCGAAGAAGTCACCGAGAGGGAACACGAATTGCGGAACGTGGGTAGCATTAAGACTATATCTCACGAAACAGTGGATTCAAAGGTAACTTTAAAATATATGTACTAAACAATACGAAATTGGATCTAATTAAATGATAATTTCTACATAGGTGCGTCGCATGCCGCAAGCTCTAGCCTCGGGCAAGTTGAAAAGAACAACTTCGACACCGCAGATTCTGGAGGCGGTCAGTCTATCGGCAAGTTCGATGCCAAAGATGACAAACGGCGTGATATCTACCCGGACAACACCAACACCGTTGCGTTTCGCGAGCGTGCCAAGCCAGAAAGGTTTGATGCACAGATTTCTGGCTACACGAGGAAAGATTTATAAGAACAAATCGGGCAGCAATGATAGTTTGAGTCCACCCATAACACCTACTATCACACTCAATCCTCTAAGTATTAAAGCCTTTAATAGAACATTGGAGATACAATTGGAGCCGGATAATGATGAGCCAAAGAAGCCACTGGCGAGGAAAGGATACGTTCCTGTCGAACAGAAGATTCAAAAGGAGTTAAACGATATGAAGGAACGAGAGAACGAGTTAAGGTATTAAAACTGCTAATAGCACAAAAATGGATATTACAATCCAAGCCTCTTTTAAGACTAGATTGAAATAAAGATTAGTACAAAAAAAAAAAAAAAATTATTTTTCTACATTATTCTTGAGAAATGATCTGGTCTATTATTACATCAACATCTTTCTCTTTTAACAATAATCGATAATTTAAATAATAAAAGTCGGATTTACTTAATATGTTTGTTTTTGCTTACACAATAAAGGAAGTATTAAGGATTACCACCATAATGGTAAGGTAAATTGTTCGCATATGTAGTAAGAATCTCCAAAAAAAATCTTTTTACTTGATTATTATATTCGTAAAATCACAATGCGATTCACGCGTAAATCTCATTTACCTTTTAGATTGATGAGATCGCGAATGTTGGCCAAGTCTCAGCCGAATCTACTCGATATAGGGAATGATAATGATTCCGATATTTATGACGGCTCCAGTTCTCTTAAAAGCGGCGCTTCCACCAACACTCTGAATGAAGATGAAATAGAAAGAGAAAATAAAGGGAAACATAAAGTAAGTGTCGTTTCTGAAAGAACACGATTACAATCGATCATCAAGATAATTTTGTTAATTTAATTAATTAATAACAATTAAATTAGTGTTAATCTATAAACAAAGCCAATTCTTTCGGACATTCTTGCTGATAACTTGATTAATTAAGCGATAAAAATCTCTTTTCATTGTATTTATAGCCTAATCCACGACGTCGTAACACGCTCATCGCTCAGTGGGAGAATTTGATATCTGCTAACAGAGAATCTCTCGAGAAAAACAACGAAAATGATAGCTACTTCTGAAAATTCAAGTGAATGCTTGCAGATGACAACTTTATTCTCATCTTTATCCGGTCGTTATCTAGCAACATAAATGTTCGATTGTAAATGAGTAACACAGATTAATATTTCATTATATTAGGCAATTTTGTTTTATATTATATATAATGAGATGTTTCTCTGCCGTTCGAAAACGGCACACATGTTGAATGTATGAATCTATATCAATTTTCTTGTTTATCTCGTCTATATAGTTTATTTACGAATGAAGGATTTTTTCGTATTTCAATAATATTTATGCGCTATAGCGTTAATTAGGATATACAACATATTTTCAGTATTAAATTGCTATAACACTGAACGTAATTATATATATATATATAATTTCTTATATTATTTTAAGAATTTATTTTAAAAAAGTAGAGGGGCACATAGTTTCATTCATTATTAATGAATTGTAATACGAATACGATATGTATTCTCACATGCGAATGACTGAAAGTTTTTATACAGTTATTGTCTAATATATAATTTTTCCAATGTGTGTAAAGTGTCCCAGTGTGTGCTTATAATAATTAATTAAAAACCCACTCGATTAGCATATGTATGATATTATAATATACAATATGTATATGTATTAAGTACTTAATTAGTTTTAAAGAAATAGTTAAATCAATGCACACATGTGAAAAAAATTACAATATATTAATGCTTCATATAGTTAAAACATGTGCAATTATTTCTATCACAAAAAATTATGTGCAAAAAATTCAGTTATTAGCAAATAAACACAATAAATATGTATTATATATTAATTGCAAGACAAAATAAGAATGTAGCAGTTTTCTTGTTGCAAAAAATATATTCTGTTAGTGTAATTAAATATCGAACACATAAAACAATAATTACTGTGTACACATCATGCAATTTTTAAATATGATGTATATAATATTTAAAAAATGCATGTACAGTAATTCCTGTTTTATTTATTATATATATATATATAACAAATTTATTAAAAAAAGCTAAACTAAAAATTAAAAGTTTAGTTGAACCTCTCATAAAAGAATTAAAATAAACAGATAAAAATATAGTAAACAAATTTACAACAATTGTATAGTCAATTTTTAATTTATTTTTTTCTCCCAATCGCATTTTTTCGATATTTATTTTCTTTCTTTCTTTTTTCTCTCTCTACCAGTGGTTCTCAAACATTTTAAATCATTTTATATGACTTATGGTCTAACTGTCTAACTAAACCTCAAGCTACATCTCAAATCTAACCTTAAAAGCCGCGTGGTCATGTAATGTCCAACCTTACAAGAAATTAAAATCGTCGCGGAACATAAAGCAAATATACAATTTCTTGCCACATATTTTGATTGTGTTATGACACTATTATGGCAGTAGAGGCAGGCCAAATAGATAAAAATATAGAAATTAAACTTTTAATTAATTTTTCCATAGATGAAGGTACGTTATGCATGTATATAAATTATTGTGTTATAATTATTGATTCTGCTAATATATGTTAAGAAACTATAATTTATATCAATAATTGTTCTCTCTCAATTTCAGTTTCTAATTTGCCATGCAATGTATGCAGCATATTAAATGGCCAATACAAAGATATAATAGATAGTGAACTTTCTGCATATATCAAAGCGATAAGCAATGGTGATAACATAGAAGAAATTGTGCATAACAGTATATCTGAGACTGATACGCATTTGTCATGGCTATACGTAGGAATAGCTTCATTGTTATACTTTGCCCAATGTAATTGGACAGGTCCGCATGTTGATAAGGATATTGAATGGTTAAAAACCAGGAGAGATGAAGCACTTAAAGGCTTATCATTAAATGATGAATGTAATATAAATGTACAAAAGCCTGAACTTCTTTATCTGTCTAAGAAAATATTCTCTAATATCGATTTACAGCTCAAGTATGAAAGTTGCATTTGGTGGCTATTTAGAGCTAATTTATTGCATCAACATGTAATAGATGAAACTTCAGCAATAATACTTGAAAAAACCGAGCATATAATATCGCAAATTAATAATCTTAATATATTAAAAGATCCTCTTTGTAAGCTATTATTTAATCTAGAATCTGCTAGATTTTATTTATGCTATAGAAGAACGCAAAATTCTGAGGAATATCTTGAAAATGCTCAGAGCATAGCAGGTTTAACATTAAATCTAGAAGGAGCAATGGGAAAACGTACAAAGTACCAACAAGAAGAAAAAGCACAGTTGTATTTGAAAGTAGAAATGAACAAAAATATTTTCCCATCAGTAGATTGCAAAGATATACCAAAATCTTTGAACTTAAACGACGAGTTGAGATTGGAACGCATTGAATTTTCAGAGTACAAAGAGGAGATCCAATTGGGTGCATTGGAGGAAGCAATAATTTTAGCAAAATAGTAAGTATTGCTTGTACTGTTCATATTTAAATATATTACAGTATGAATATATTTTAACAGTAAATAGTGTTCAGTTGCAGATGTGTCAACCTAAGCACAAACTCACTGATGAGGAAATCATGCCCTATCTGAGAGTAAGTTGCAATACTAATATTACATTTTGCATTTTATTTGTTAATAAATAATATTATTATTAAGAAGAAAACTTTTTTCATAGAAAGTTATAGAGAATACAAAGAATTGGTCATTAAAAATGACTTCTTTGTGCTGTCGTTGCTCATTGGAATCTAATGATAAAAGAACTGTCGAGCGGTCTATGATGCAAGCAGAGTCTTTACTAAAAGATTACAATGATACAAAAGCATCTGTAGCTAGAAGAATGGATCTATTATTCGCAAGCGGTATGAAACCTATTTGGGCATTGGAAGAGAACTGGGCTAACTTAATGTTCAGTCTTGGCTTGGTGAAGGGTGCTCTAGAAGTTTTTATAAAACTTGGATTATGGGAGAACGTGATTATTTGTTATAATGTATTAAATTTGAAACACAAGGTACATATCTCTTACATATATCAAGTATAATATGCATGCGCCATACAAATATAATAATAAGTAACATACATGGACATTTATAGGCAGCTGAGATTATTCAGCAAGAAATATCTAAAAAGCCAACAGTAATGTTGTGGTGTCTACTAGGAGATGTAACTGGAGATGTGAATCATTATGAAACAGCATGGAGATTGTCTGAGAAAAAAAGTAGTAGAGTTCAGAGACACTGGGGATTCTATTACTTTACAAAGAAAGATGTTAGTATCTGGGCTCTCCCTCTATTAATTTTCAATCTAAATCTTTTACTTGTTACATATTTAATTTTATATATATTACATTATAGTATATTTTTTTTAGTATGCTGAAGCTATACCACATTTAAATTTATCAGTCCAATTGAATAACATCCAAGAGCACGTGTGGTTTAGATTGGGTTATGCAGCATTGCAAATAGAGGATTGGAAGTTAGCTGCTACAGCATATAGACGTTATTGTGCTTTAGAACAATCTGTATGTATATAATTCTGATATTGCTATTTTTATAAATGATATATAAATTAAAAATAAAATTCTTATATATATTTGACATAAAAATTTCAGACTTTTGAGGCATGGAACAATTTAGCAAAAGCATATATTAAATTGGGAGATAAACCAAGAGCTTGGAAGTCTTTACAGGATGCTATAAAATGCAATTATGATCGTTGGGAAATATGGGATAATTTGATGGTTGTTAGCATTGATTTGGGACAGTTTTCAGAAGTAGGTACAATTCATATAAATATTTAGTAATTTGAAGGATATGGGCAATAATAATTATAAAATTAGTTACGTTATTTATGTTAGACAATATTTTTAAAGAAATAATTTTGCTCTGTTTCAGGTTATTCGATGTTATCATCGTATCTTGGATTTGAAGAATAACCATTTGGATATTCAAGTTCTTCAAATATTGACTAATGCTATAATAAACAATATTATTGATGCAGATGGAAATTCGGCGTCTCGTTTGCTTCAAAACAGTTTGGAATTATTTGGAAGAATTACTAGTTCTAATACAATTAATAGTCCAGATATTTGGAGAATGTATGCTGAACTTGTCATATTGAGAAAGACAGACATTGATAAGGAAAGAGCAGCGCAATACTTACAACAAGCGCATCGTATCGCCACTTCAAATCCAAAATGGTCTTACAGGGAAGAAACAAGTCTAAATGTGTTGGAGTTATGTTGTAATTTGGCACAAGCATATTTACGTTGTACTAAAGATATCGCAGCTGTCAAAAAAAGAAAAATGTTAGGGAGTGCAAAATTATCACTACAGGGGGTTGTGAAAAAGATCAAGGAGCAAGAATGGAATAACACAAATATCATCGAACAATTAACAAAAGTTGAAGAGTATTTAACAATTATAACAAATGAATTAGAACAAATAAAACCTACATAATAAAAATATTATTCGCTTGTATCATATTCCTCACTTACAGAAGAATATTTCATACATTTAACAGATCTTCATATATGAATCCTATAACCCAATTGATTTTAATATCTCGCGATTATTTGGAAAATATAAAAATTAAAAAATTTGGATATCAAAATGACAGTTTTAAATGTTATCAAATTAATTTTAAGAAAAGAGAAAGAATTAGTGGATTTTAAATTGTATAATTGAGAAAAAGATAATTTCTCTAAAATTGAACGCCCCCTCCCCCCCCCCTTTAATTTTCGACATCAAGAAACCAACATGAAGCATTAATTAAATATATATTTATAGTTACTAATGTTCTTAGAGATACATCATAATGTATACACACACCCGGTATAATATACTATCTTATTAATTTATCTTCCATCTGAAAGAATAGCATAAAATTCGAGATGCGAAATAGTGTATTAGTTTCAACATTTTTCACCTTTAGCAAACTGGATATAATATAACTTTCTATTATCGGCGTTTTATCGCATTTTTTGCAGCTATATGTTCAAAAAAATTTAATAAAGTTATCACCTGTTAGTTATTTGTTATCTCGCAATATTGGAATTCTTCTATCTAATACTTTGCCTCTTTTTAAATAATTCATAGACGGAGAGTTTATTAACGATCACAATCACTTCTTTTTTTTTTACAAGAAACAATTGAATTTAAGTGAAAAGGGGAGGGGGAGAAAGGGGGGAAATTGCAAGCACTTCGGCTAGTTTTGCGATACGCTTCGGATGTATTCGGCAGTGTTCGGCACTGTAATTGCTCCTAACCTCACACTTCACATCCAGCTGCCGTCTATATGCTATGTCATTCTTATTGATAAGTCCATTAGACTCGAAGCCATTTATTATCTGTTATTATCGTGTACTAATCCATATCATATCGTGACTCGCGCTTCAGGAATATTCAAGAAATCTAATCAGTTATCACGGATTATAAATGACGAATACGATATTGCGTTTTCTATCGTTTAAGTTCACGTTCTAGTGTCTATATATATATATTATCGTGCATATTATATTATACATAAGTAAGTATTTTCGCATATCTCGAAACGAGAAATGATATGATCGTCTTGATTGTGGCTTTTATACTCTGTCTTTTTTCTCTTTCTTTAAAAATCAAATTTACATCAAATTTAAATAAATAATAATTTGTATAAAATATATAGTGTACAAAAAATAAGTTCAATAACTGTCAGAGTTTAATTGCCTTTACAATATCATTTTTTCATCCTATGACTATAATATCATTGAAATAATAATTTTAATAATGATCGGACTATAATTTTGTAAAGTTCTTAATGAACATTATTTATTCTAGATGTCGTTTGCGGGGAAAGTTGTTTTGATAACAGGAGCCAGCTCAGGAATTGGAGCTGCGACAGCTGTTCACCTGGCTCAGCTTGGTGCATCGCTGTCGATAAGTGGACGCAATAAGGATAATTTAAATAAAGTAGCCGAACAATGCGGACAGTCTAAGCCATTTATTGTAACTGCAGAATTAACTGACGAAACTGATGTGAAAAATATTATTGACTCAACAATTAAGCATTATGGCAAACTAGATGTTTTAATTAATAATGCTGGAGTTTTGGAAAATGGTAGTATAGAATCTACAAGTCTGGAACAATACGACAGGTATATAATAATAATCTATGTATATTTTATTAATAATAAAAATGTATTCAACTTTAAAATATTTTTTTTTCTTTCTTCTTCAACTTTAAAAAATAAACTTAAAATATTAACATCTATTTTCAGGGTTTTCAATACAAATGTTCGTTCAATATACCAACTGACAGCACTAGCAGTGCCACATTTAATCAAAACAAAGGGCAATATTGTTAACGTTTCTAGTGTAGGCGGATTACGATCTTTCCCAAATTGTTTGGCATATTGCATGAGTAAAGCAGCTCTGGATCAATTTACACATTGTATTGCTTTGGAATTGGGCCCAAAACAGGTATGTGCAGAAGTAAAAAAAATTTTGCATACACACAGTGATAATTTAATATTATTTTTAATGTTTTGTATTACTATTTTTAAAATATCCTAGGTGCGTGTGAATGCTGTAAACCCTGGTGTTGTAGAAACAAATCTCCATCGTCGTAGTGGAATGAATGAAAAACAGCTACAAGCCTTTTTTGAGCATAGCAAAGAGACGCATATTCTAGGAAGAACGGGTGACGTTACAGAAGTCGCAAAGACTATTGCGTTTTTAGCGAGCGACGACGCCAATTTCATTACAGGCGCATCATTACCTGTGGATGGAGGTAGACATGCTATGTGCCCTCGTTAAAAATCTTACATCATATTTTGTGTAAACAATATATAGTATATTTAACATACACAATATACATCATGTATCAGATTTACAACAGTAACATCAATGGAGATCAATCTATATATTTGTACTCTACTTGGATAGTTCCAACAAAATTGTTGATATAATGTTCTATATTTTTTTTTTATACTTATACAGAGATTATAATTTTTATATTTACATTTGCCATATATTTTATGTGAAAGAAGTTACTTACAATGTATGTATTCAATAAAATAAAAGGAAATAAGATAAAAATATCTTCAAATCTCTTTTATGGCACAGCCAAAGTGTAATTTATAAAATACTCGCCATTATGAAAAGTATGATAAGCGAGCAACTTTACTACCATCTCCAATTCCATAATATAAGTTTTGCAGAAAGAGTAAGAAAATGTTTAATATGAAAATTTAATTTCTGAGGGGAATTCTCTCTTTCTTGTCATGTTTATAAATTTTTTTTTCACTATGTAGAAAAAAATTAATTATTAAACGTTAGTTGAATCTATAAATCAATTGCTCAATCTCTATTTTGCCAAAGAAAGTGGCAGTGTTAATGATTTACGTTATAGTAAAGATACAAACCACATCATATATATAACATGATGGTATATACAGTAATACATAATACAGATTTAAAGAATATCTTTATAATATAATTTATATATAGCTATTTCTGCAACTTGCTCTTCATAAAATGATAATGTACATTGGAGAATGATAACATTGATGATACGAATACAGAGATTACAGACATTATATAATGTATACATATTTTTTTTTAAACAGTAATCTAATATATTCGCTATTCTCATGATATATCGTAAGTAGACTATTGCATTTTGGCCAAGTATATATACGAGAAAAATAATTATAATTTGCCATAATTTTAAATGCATAAATAAGAAACTCTTAATAGAAATAATCTATTTTCTATGTCTGAAAATCTCCTCAGTCTTCAGAGGCAACATTATAAAATATCTTTTCTATTTTAGTAAAAACATAAAATATTATATTTTTTTCTCTAAAGAATTTTTTCTCTAAGAGAATATTAATATTCTTTTATTATTCTATTTGTGTGGTCTTAATATTAATGATTTTTTAAATTTTATTTTATATATAAAAAATAGGATACCACAAATGTGGCTAATATGAAATCTCTATAGGACACTTCTTTACATTGCATCAATAACAAAAAAAGAAAGAAATACAAGTCTATTTTTATAGTCAAAGGTACAATTATCACTAAAACTTCTCTGAGCCGCCTTTAATAATATGGCTCTGAAGTATTCAATATGTCAAAGACGATTATCACAACAATTTACTAGTGGAATTATGCACATAATTTAAAGCAGATATGTAAAAAGATTTCTCTTGTATCTGCAGATGGGTTTTTTCTTCTTTCTCCCTTACCAATAAATAATAACTAAGAATATTTCAGCCTTTACTGACAGGTATTCTGTTATTACTGTTGTTTTTCGAATCTACTGCGCTCAACGCTATGCCTAATTGCGCTGCGTAATATGTAAGCATGATAGATACCTACAAAGTAAAAATCGGACATATTATCGGGCAATTATATTTGCTAATAAAATATATTCGTCTATTCGTAAAATATATTTATGTTTATATTATGTCTATGTATTCTCTTCAGAAGCATTCAATGATATTGTTAATGTGCATATATTATTGTCACATACCTGAGAGTAAGGTAATGGACTGTGGAAATAATGAAATCCGAGCAAAGTATCAGATATGACAAAACAAATGCTTCCAATGCAACTGCACAATTTAGTCCATGTCCATAACTCCTAATAATAGAATGTGATTAATCCCTCGCGTATGACGATATACAAAAATTAATCCCGATATTACAACAAATATTCGAGTGAAAAGAGCGCAAGCTATTAGAGAAGTGATCAATACCGATACACGATATTTAGAGACAAAACTCTCTCTCACTCTCTCTTGAGATATAAACTGTTTCTGTAATTTTTATATTTATATTATTGCATAGATTTACCCCAAAGAATTGTACTCTTGATATCGCCCTCCATGCCATAGTAGTGAGTAATATTGTATAAATTGGCACTCCTATTGCTAAAACTCCGTTTAGTCCAGGCATTAAAGCGTATATGACTGGAAAGCGATCGTATCAATCAATTGATATCTGATTAATTGAAAGGAATTGGAAACTCCTTCATATTCATTAATCTTACCAATTGAACAAAATATATACAGTACCGCTCCAAGCGTTAAATTCAGGGGTTTGAACCCGAATGCAATTATATACATAATTTGCGCGATAGCAAACATACACATGCCTGCGGTGAAACAATTAGGCCACACTAACAGTGCATCGCCTATGCAACTAAACACCAACCCCGTTAATATACGCCTGGAGAAAGCGTATCTGTAAAAAGAGACGAGTCTTGTGTCAGTAATGTTAAAGCAAAACTATCGTCTCAAAGTAAAATTTATTTCATTTATATGATTAATGTTTACAGGGGTGTAAGAATATTTTTTTACTTACTCTTTGGACAAATTAATTCCGTGCAATAGGATGAAAACAATAAGACTTATTATCGGTAAACATTTAAAACATGCCGTCAGCAGAGATGGCTGTTCAGCAAATAATACAAAATATACTGACACGCTTTTAAAGAACGGTACCAATTTCGGCCCGATACTTTTTATCTGAAACGCAAAAGTGTACTTCATATTATTATGTATCGAAAAATGCATATTGCGCGATAAATGAAAATGTGATGATAAAAAAGGTATAAAGATAACTGGAATAAAGATAAAATTTAATGATACTAAATGATATGAAGTAAAAATATGTTTTGAGAACATTATGTTGTAAACATTTTTTATTGTTTTTGACTTATCATTTAACGTATTCGCAATTTGATAATTAAACACTTCATATAAAACAATTAAATCCAGCAAAGAAATTTTGTTCTAAAGTGGATTAAATAGCCCATGTGTGAAAAATAGGAAACCAGAGAGAAAAAAAAAGAATAATTCTATCTTCTGTTTTTCTCTATTTAATTTCTTATTTATCTTATATATATTATTTAATGTTATTTGTGTCTGTGTAACCATTTATTTCTAACAGCTCTTTTAACATGATTATTATATAAGCTTAATATTCTTTTATTTAATATCATATCATCAACATATTTTCTCATATGTATGTCTGTGTGTGTAATATTTTTAAAGAAAGATTGAAATATATATTTTATTCATAGATATGTGTGTATTGTCAAAATGTATATTCAGATATTCAGCAAAATATTTTATCATGAACAACTTTTCATCTTTGAAATTCAGCTAATAACAGTGCATGTGTAAAGAGATCTATCCATAGTCATTGAAGCCTAATCATTGACTTAATCCAGCCAGTTACATGATAGTACATTATCTAATACTGGTACCGTCAGGATGCACAATAGTCTTTGATATAGAGTAGTCACTTTATGTCAATCTGGTGGTTTCTCTAATAGTACATTATTACAATAACAACTGCATTGGATTGATCTTTAAAGAATGTCAAACAGGAAACATATAATGTGAAAATTCTTGTTTTTTACCATTCATGTCTGATCAATATTATATACTTCCCTCCAATTTTGTCTACATAATTTAGTTACCTAATTTTAGTTTAGTTGTTTAAAATACTAAAATATAATTTAATGACATTTAACTGGCTTACAAAACAAAAAATAATTTACAATTATAAAGAAATTAATGAATATCTTATAATAAATATATATAATCTTTTTTAACATATATATGCAATATTTTTTAATATGCAAATGAAATAATACATATATATTTTTATTGAAATATTGCAAACGAGAAATGTATATATAAATTTTGGCAATAAGTGCATGTTAAAAACTTCTTTATATATGTATGTACACAAACAAATATAGTTATTTCTTTTTTCTTAATTTCTAAAAAGAATATAAATTTTCTAAATTTAATAAATAATTTTCTCTCATTTCCTGAGAAGAAAATAAGAAAAAAGATAATAATTTTCGTGTGTGCATACATATAGAAAGATTTTAATATATTATATATAATATATTAAAATATATTTCTCCAATTTATATATACATTTCTCGTTTGCATTAAAAAAATTTCTCGTTCTTTTTTTATACAAGGTATATACACTATTTTACTTATTGCACAATATGTTTAAATCGTATATTTAATTATATTAGTTTTTTTCATACTGCTGTATATAAAAAATATTTAATCAATTCGATTAATTATTAAATTCAATGTGTTCACTCAAATACAATTGAGCTAACAAAAGATCAGCGTATGCGACTCAGAACAAAGAAGAGAGAATAAAGTAGTAGTTTTTTTTCTGTATGGTAAAACAATGAACACAACGATTGACGTGACATTCTAAGAGAAGAAAATAAGATTAGTAAGAAAATGTGAAAGGAGAGTGAGCGATACGCCGCTGTCAGCGTATAAACAAACCCTGTCAACGACTTCCGTCCCCTTACCACTTGTGTAGGCGATGCCATCTCTTCGGTTGAAGGACACCGTGAAAACAATAGAAGCGATGGCCGCTCAAATCGTTGACAAATCAACCGAATTCGAGCAGGACTCGCGAACGCGAATGCTACCGTTCGCAAATTCGCCGCTTATTTATATGACGCTTTCCGATATATGTATCCGCGCGTTACACACGCACACACGCGAATCGCGTGGCATCGCGCACACTGCTGTCACCGTTCACCGTCACCGGGTGATTGCAAACACCAGACATCAGCAAACATCGCCGATTATCATCAGTATAGCCAACCTATAGTCAACCCGAGAATAATCTATGCAACCATAGACTATAGATTCTTATATAGAGTTGCAACTCTCTTGCACTTTGCGTACATATGTGCACAAAATTAACCAATCACGTGTCCAATCTGAAGAATGACGTTTCTGACAATGAGAGTGTCATGTGCGTATCATGCCACGCGTGAAAGGAATCGAATTTTAATTTTTAAAATCGATCTAAAAATCGATGTTTGGAATAGGATACACAGTTCTTGATACTGAGTGATTTTTGCAATGAAATAAGCAGAATTTTTATTGCGTATCATATTATAAGAAACTAATATAAAATATTAATAAAATGGCAAATTGTGTCAATTTCACATTGAATAATCTGTTGGCATCTTACAAGAAATGGATTGTAGCTAATCCGCACTTGCTGTCAGATATTGAGGCTACTGTCAGATGTTTATCTTATTTCAGTTTCGGTTAGAAAAGAGTTCTCAAAATATGTTATATTATCATTTTCTCTGTCAGGTATACTTAATATTAAATCTATTATCTCTCTTTGTTTATAGGACAGTTGCGTAATTCGAGTTTGGCTGTAGAATTAATTTATTCTATGCCAAACCTAATTGTTCTGTGCAATGATTTACTTATGTATAGCAGCAAATGTAAGGATCTGAAGGTACCTCAGTTCGAATCAAAGATTAAGATTTGGTTGACTGTGGTGGAATATACTGAGGCATTGCTTGAGGTGTCAGCCGAAAAGTTGTGGGGTGCAAAGGGAAAATGGTTAATAATTGTAATTATACAATTGTTCAAGTAAGTGTTTGGCGTTCCTTTTTGGCAACACAAACATATTTATATGTTATATCAAGTTTTATTCTATATAGATGAATATTTACTTTGTACAGGACCATATTGCGACTGTTATCGATTCATGTATATAAGGAGCGTATGACAAAGAGTCCTGCAACACCACCGCTTAACAGAGAAAAGTTTAACAAAGTGGTTGACAGTATACAGTCAAAGGAAGGGTTTACGCTGAAAAGATCAGGCACTGTTATTAGAAGTATAAAACATTCAGTTCCTATAGAAATGCGAACATGGAAAGCTTTGCCTTCTAATACGGATGAAAATAAAAACTTAACCAAGAATCAGGAATCTGAGAAAATTCTTAAATTAGCTGAGGTTGGTTAAAATTTAGTATTATAAAGTCTCAATATAATAAGATGTTCTGATATAATGAGAAATTAAAATCTTGTATTTTAATTTGTATTAAAATTTGTTGAAATTAAAAAATATTAGTATTAATCTTTCTTTTTGGCAAAAAGAATCATATAGATGTAACAGAATTATTAAGTTATTGTGCTATTGTGAAAATTTATAGAAGTGCTTCATTTAGTTTTATTCTATTCTTTTATAATTGACTTACTTTTTTCATTTCATGTATTATCTCTGCTATATTTTTGAAATTTATTCTGTGTCCCCTATATTTTTATAATTATACAATAATATTAATAAGACATGTAACAAATTATATCTTCTAGAGTTTTTATGTGACAAAACCGTTGCTTCATCTTGGTTGTATGTACATTACTAACAAAAACCAGTGGCCACCATGGATGTTATCATTTATTATCGATGTAGTCAGGTAATTATAACATATTGAACTATTATACATAATTGATAAATTGTGATCTTTTCTTTTTTTAATTGAGTTATTATATTATGTTTGTATACAGTTTGAATATCTTTACTCGCTGTGCTCCAAAGGCATTATTCAGTAAAGAAGAGGAAGAAGAACTCGTTCGACGAAGGTTAAGTTTGTTGCTGTATATTTTAAGATCACCGTTTTACGACAAGTACAGCTGCGTTAAGATAAATGCATTACTTGACGCATTATCTACCTCTGTACCTTTTGCCAAGTTATTGACAAATGCTGTTAAAAAGAATCTGCCATATATGCAAAGTATGTATTTTTATATGTGGTCGCGTTAATTCTTATGAGAGCTAAGTAAACTATGAGAAATACATATGTAAGTAGAGTTTTCACAAATACGAAAATTATAGCATAATCTAAGCATTCCGTAATTTATGAATAATAAAAAAAATGGCATATTAATGATATTTTTATATTTCTCTCTATTATAGTGTTGTACAATGAATTTTAAAGGATTATTATAGAGATATTTATAATCACATTTGGTATCTATTTTATTTTATTAATTTAAAAATAAATCGTAATTATGATTTTTATAAAGAAGTGTCATATTTTCTCTTTAAACAATATTGATTAATTTGATTTGTTGTGATTAATTCATTAGTGGCTGTTAATGTACAAATGTAAAGCGAAAAATGCGAAGACTGGCATGTTTCGAATACTTTAACAGATTCCCTGATGTTTATTGCAATTTGTTCTCCGATTCAGATAATTTCATTATATTCTGTCGATAATTGGCGAAACTTTTATGTTTACATTTCTGTTTTCTATCAAGTTGACATTTAAAAACATTCTTAGAATTTTAAAAAACGTTTTAAAGCAATTTCCAGCTCTTGAATACATTCAAAAGTTAAAAATAGAATATGCAGAGAGGATATTGCTTTTGTAGAAATATTTCTGCTATAATATTTGTCATTCATGCAACAACTCTTTTGTCACTATACATGTCAAGTACAAAGCCCGAAGATAATTTGTCAGCACTTATGAAATAATGTTTCCTGCAACAATGTGTTTTTTAAAACACATAACATTGAATGAAATCAGCGGTGCGTGATCCACGATCTGCTCGCATGGATGATTATTGACCTTCGTCACTTATTTGCCAATGAAACAGGGATGGCCTTGTGTCTCCACACCTTGCCTTTGGACGTACGGCTATTCCGATCTGTTGGGAATACCACCGGGCGTTATTACGCTGGTTGCGAACGTGCTACACTTGCTATTATTATATACATACTAGCATAATTATAATTGAAAGTAATTTGCTCCTCTTTTTTTTTCCCATGTTGTGCCAGATATTTTACATGTGATAGCTCGGAGGGAGATCACATATCGTATCGGATATTGTTACCAAGAACTATAAATTCGTGATCTACAGTCTCCGTGTTTTATTTGTTGTGTCGTTCATACAAGAGACTGTACAATTGATTTTCAGTGATCTTGAAGTCTTTGAAATGAATAGCATCTTGTTTTTATTACTGCTATGCCAACTGTTGCAGCAAATATGTGGACAAATGATTTTTGAGACTACTCCAATGCTACAAAGTATGTATTTTACTAGCCATATACTATTATTAATGCATAATATTAGTAACAAGGGATTTATGATATCAAAAAAGTAATAACAAAATAATATAATGATACAAATGACTAATTATAAAAATTATCAAGTGTTAGTCTGATAAGTTATTAGTCTGTTAATGATATTTAGAAGAGAGTACTTTTTAATAATCATCTAATAATTGTGTGTGTATCATCTAATACAAAGAATTCTTAAATATAAAAGAAAAGATTTTATTTTGGTTTAGCACGTTTAACTTTTGTTAGTTTAATTTATGAATTAATCTATTAATGTTGCCTGATATATATTTTATTGTCTTTTACAGCTGCTATCGTGAACAATGGACAATGTTTGTGCTATACTGGAACCACCTGTCCTCCAGGTTGCAGCATTGACATCAGAATCGTGAATACGGTAGTATTCGTTTATTAATAAAAATATATAAAAATTTGATACTTTATTACGAAATATTTACACTGGAAAGAACGTTAATTATCAATTCTATATAAAAATTCTATAAAAATGTAACAATTATATATATATACATCATTTTATAGTATAATCATTTTATAATATAAAACTTTATTTTTAGGGAAGAACTTGCCCCTCTGGACAAATATACTGTTGCACAACGCCTACAAACAATGTTGGCTGCGGTATCCGAAAAATACCATCTACCCCGCATCCCCCAGGACAAGCTGCTTACGGCGCATATCCCTGGCAAGTGGCCATTTTAACCGTCGGTAACGTTTATCTCGGAGGTGGAGTACTTGTCAGTCCGATGTACGTCCTTACCGCCGCTCATAAAGTACAGAATTACGAGTAAGTAATAAATATATGCGTAGATTTCTGAAGATTTTTAAAGGGAAATCAATTCCTGTATCATCAATACAATATGCAATGTATTAATTTGTTATATCTTTCGTCATAATATAACATAATTATTGTACAAACATGTTACAGAAACAATCCCGGTGGGATTAAAGGTTACCAAGAACTATAAATTCGTGATCTACAGTCTCCGTGTTTTATTTGTTGTGTCGTTCATACAAGAGACTGTACAATTGATTTTCAGTGATCTTGAAGTCTTTGAAATGAATAGCATCTTGTTTTTATTACTGCTATGCCAACTGTTGCAGCAAATATGTGGACAAATGATTTTTGAGACTACTCCAATGCTACAAAGTATGTATTTTACTAGCCATATACTATTATTAATGCATAATATTAGTAACAAGGGATTTATGATATCAAAAAAGTAATAACAAAATAATATAATGATACAAATGACTAATTATAAAAATTATCAAGTGTTAGTCTGATAAGTTATTAGTCTGTTAATGATATTTAGAAGAGAGTACTTTTTAATAATCATCTAATAATTGTATCATCTAATACAAAGAATTCTTAAATATAAAAGAAAAGATTTTATTTTGGTTTAGCACGTTTAACTTTTGTTAGTTTAATTTATGAATTAATCTATTAATGTTGCCTGATATATATTTTATTGTCTTTTACAGCTGCTATCGTGAACAATGGACAATGTTTGTGCTATACTGGAACCACCTGTCCTCCAGGTTGCAGCATTGACATCAGAATCGTGAATACGGTAGTATTCGTTTATTAATAAAAATATATAAAAATTTGATACTTTATTACGAAATATTTACACTGGAAAGAACGTTAATTATCAATTCTATATAAAAATTCTATAAAAATGTAACAATTATATATATATACATCATTTTATAGTATAATCATTTTATAATATAAAACTTTATTTTTAGGGAAGAACTTGCCCCTCTGGACAAATATACTGTTGCACAACGCCTACAAACAATGTTGGCTGCGGTATCCGAAAAATACCATCTACCCCGCATCCCCCAGGACAAGCTGCTTACGGCGCATATCCCTGGCAAGTGGCCATTTTAACCGTCGGTAACGTTTATCTCGGAGGTGGAGTACTTGTCAGTCCGATGTACGTCCTTACCGCCGCTCATAAAGTACAGAATTACGAGTAAGTAATAAATATATGCGTAGATTTCTGAAGATTTTTAAAGGGAAATCAATTCCTGTATCATCAATACAATATGCAATGTATTAATTTGTTATATCTTTCGTCATAATATAACATAATTATTGTACAAACATGTTACAGAAACAATCCCGGTGGGATTAAAGCGAAATTGGGCGCGTGGGATTCTCAATCTACTACTGAGCCTTCTGTAGACATTTCCATCTCGAAAGTTACTCTGCATCCTCAATATAATTCAAACTGTAACCTTGACTGTCCAAAACAAAACCTTCCCTACGATATAGCGGTGCTTAGACTGAGTTCGGCTGCTCCAATAGCAACTAGTCCTAACATCAATACAGCATGCTTGCCAAATGGACCAGTTGGTGCGGGAACAAAGCACGTATTACAATTAATTACTTTTTTGAATTTAACGTCGCTTTACATATAATTTTCTCTAATTTAAATTTTTTTAATTCATCAACAAATATGTAATGTGATCTTTTGTGTGCTTTTGTACTCCAATTATCATAATTATATTTATATCTTTAGCATTTTGTCAAGAGCATCAGAATATATTTTAATTTTGCAATATAATCTTTCCATAAATAACATGATAATCCGATTAATATCATAATATTAATATTTTAAAGATGTTGGGTGACGGGTTGGGGAAAGAACGCTTTTGGACCTACCGGGATGTACCAAAATATTTTGAGAGAGGTAGACGTACCTGTGTTGACTCACGAGGCTTGCCAAACGGATCTTCGTTCCAAGACGAGACTTGGCGGAAACTTTAATCTGGACAGTAACTCCATGTGCGCTGGAGGGGAAGCGGGCAAAGATGCATGCACTGTAAGAGAATTATAGACATAGCCTCTTATTTATATTAATGTAGTATTTATTCATTAATTAATTCAATATCATTATAAATCCTTTTTTTTAAAGGGCGACGGAGGTTCACCACTGGTGTGTCCGACACAGAACGGGGCCTTTGAAGTTATCGGATTGGTAATATGGGGTATAGGCTGTGCAGATGCAGGAGTACCTGGTGTGTACACTAATGTATATAACTATATCTCTTGGATCAGGCAACAAATGACGTAGACCACGTGAAAACATATGTATAGATCACATATATTTTCACATTACAAATATTATTTGAGAGAACTGAAACACACAGATATATGTTAATATATAGATAACGGATTTTCTACATTATAAAAATGTGTGCGCTAATTAATATTGAATCGTGAATAATGTATAAATATTATTAAAAAGTTTCAATGTTAGATACTAACAACGTAGTTAAATAATAAAAGTACAGTATTGTAATTTGGGATTTTATTGAATATTGTGTGAAAATGACAAAATTAGTGACAGTTATTAATTTATATATTCTCATATTAACTCGTATATTAAAGAAATAACAGTTTTATAAAAAAAAAACTGTTGAGGTTACAGGATCAGTTATCCAATCACAAAATAACGGTTAATAGATACTAAAAGAGAGAAAGAAAGGAAGTTGACATTATAAATTGGAATAACTCCTATTCTCATCTCTCAAGGAAAAATACAAACAAAAGAACTATCAATAAAAGGCTTCTTTTAACTCAGTCAATGTTTAATTTTCTTATTTTTATAGTACTGTTATTATATAAGCTTATATAAAAAAAATGTCAAGACCAAGTACACAAAGAAAATTAACATTGTATATAATCTTCTCTTTCCCCTATAATTTCTACAATTGTAAATAACATTACATGGGATATACACATAAGCAAATAATACATTGAGCTTTTAGTTTTCTTATAATTCAAATCGACAAGAAATACATAAAAAATATACAGACTTAATATTTAAGAATTACATGGAAAAAAAATAATATACAGTATAATGAAGAGATTTGGTACTCTCGCTTATAGATTTGTGTACTATTTTATAAAACTGTGTATTATATAATGTTTTAACAGAATAAAAATTATATTATAAAGATAATTATATAAATAAAGAATTTCGCAAAGTGATGTTTTTATAAAGCCATATAGTGTAAATCAATGTACAAGTTATGAGTGTGTGTATATATGTGAGATTTAAACAATACTTAACATAGATTACAAGTCCTATATTTTTTGTGATAAATTATGCATTGAACATTCGAAGCACTTTGTAATTCTGGAATTCTTCCAAGAAATCTAGAATAACTTCGACATCTTATTTGTATCAGAGTTATGTAACGCATATAATATATTTGGTATTAATATGCCTTTGGCATTTAATTATCAAATATCTTAATTATTTAGTTATAAGTAAATTGATGGCAAAGATTAACCGAAACAGATTGCTTGGTATATGCAAAAATTTCAGAGAAATTCTTAAATATAAAAAAATTAATCAATTACAAGATGTAATTGATGCGATTGCAAAAACGTCGTCATTCAACCTCTGCCATCAATTGCTGATACTAATGTGTGTCAATTCTATGTAGATATACTCATTTATTGTATTTGTACAATAAATCGTGACGCGCCGCATATTTTTCTATGGAGGTAGATATTTGATAATGCAAAGGGAGTTTAAACGGTTGGTGCATTGACGTGAGGATGGGGAACTTGGACGGAGTGGAACGAAGTGGGATGCGAGACGGGCAGTGATAGCAAATGTCCGCGTTCCATTTCATTCACTTCTTGTTGCTCTGTTCCTCCTATAGAGCCCGTCGAACGTGCCAGGCTATTACGCTGTCTGCACATATATGGTGTCTCTCCAGGTGAAGGAGTTTCACGACCCTGCATTATATAAATTATCATCTATAAAATTTATTTTGCACTTATCAGTAAAACTGGAACAAAACGTGAAAGAATTGTATGATATAGACGATATTTATGTCCTAATGTCAAAATAAATATAATGCGCATCATCTTTTCATCTTCATTTCGAATAAATATAAAAATAGAATTTATGTCCAATTTTGTATGATCACATATTGATTATATACTAATCTTACCATAATTTGATTTTGAATTTTGAATTTAGATGAATTAGTAATTTAAATTTAGATATATAAGATAGAGATTCTTAATAAATCGAGTAAAATAAAATTACTCATCAAAACGATTTCTTTTAATATAATGAAAAATAACTGTACTTTCAAATGGATGAAATATAGAATTTATATTGTGTCGGACGTGGTAGACGAACTGTCGCGGTCTATAGTCGTATTTGACTCTGATTTTATTCCTTCTAAGCATCGTCCGAGGTAATTTGATTTAGGACACGCAGATCGAGGATTTGTATCTCTCTCCACATTATACTAGAGCATCGAGCGAATATAAGCGAGAGGAGTGATGTACGACGATAAAATCATGGATGGAATATTGTACTTACTTGTTTGGAAGGACCACAGCACGTCGCATGATTGCACGGCTTATCAGTCTTTGGACAGTCCAGCACGCAATCTTCCGTGGGAGTCTCTTTAATTTCGCTATTAGAATGATACTAGAATAACAGAGAAGATTATACGTATTAATATAATACATATAAGTATTTAGTAATATATATATATATGTATGTATGACTAAATAGTTGTTTGCGAATCACGTGTATAATACAGTTAGTTTGATGACTGTACACTTCGCGCATCATTGACGATAGACAAAAGATTGTGTATTGATACTACCGTATGCATGATTCACGAACAGACAACTTCTTATTAAAATTCACAATTATCCAAACTTATATCAAATTTGTATTTGCTTGTAATAAAAAAATGCATGCATTTTGATTACTCAGTCTCTTGTAAACTTTTCTACCGCAATATTCTTACAAATTTTAGAACATTTGGTGTATAAACACACGCTCACACACACACACACACACACACACACACATTATACAATGTTATTCTCTTTGCTTACATCGATAAATTCTGGTTGAATAGTCGTAGAGTGTATACCCTCGTTATGGAAAAATTCCTTAACTTGTTCGGCGATTTTCATATATTCCGAAAGATTTCTGCATCTTATGTGCGCACTAGCTATAATACGATCACCAGCTAATTGCCATACATGGAATTCGTGTACAGCTAATACTCCATCTACATTTTCTAGTAGACGCTGTTGTATAGCATCGACCTGTGTCAAATAAATTTTTATAATTATGTATTATATATATATATTATGTCTAAGATCTTAAACTAAACTATAAAAGTCATATACACACACAATATTACCTAAGAGAGATTACCTAATAGTGGTAACCAAAGATTACCTAACAGTCAATAAAATATTACCTGAATGTGTGTTGGCACAGTCTGTAGTAGAATTAAAGCTGATTCTTGGAGTAACGGCCATACTGAACGCAGAATAAGAATGACTAATAAGAGCGACAGTGCAGGATCAATGTAGAATCTATGGAAATAAAAGAGTATTTACAAATTATATGAGTTTTATACTAAAGTATTAAACTCGTACATAAAATATACAGTGTATGTAATTACCTATATTTCCATTTTGTAAGCCATACAATGAGGGCTGATACAATTACAATGACAGACCCTAATGCATCTGAAAGTACATGAAGAAATACTCCTCGCATGTTCATCTGACTCGCATCGTGAGAATGACCATGCGCTCGTTTTACTTGGGGTGTCGAAGGTCTATAAGCTTCGTCGTTTTCATTGTCGTCTGTACCTACTAAAGTACTCAGTCTATTATGACTTCGAGATATACCATGTGAATGACCGTGAGCACTTCCGTGTTCTACAATTATGTTGTAAATATTTGCAGATTATATCGGTAAAGTAGATTAATCTCTTATCTATCATATATAAAATGTCCATGATATAGATTTAAGATTAATTAATCAATTAATTAAAAGCAGACAGGAAAAAGATATGGTAACGCTGATCCTTATTTTATTTGTTAAAGATATAAAATATTGAATACATTAGCTATAACATTAATCAATGTTTTGTTTGATAAATTAAATAAAATAATATTGCTCTTTTAATATTGTCAGTATTCGTTTATTCGAATAACTGATTGTTTTCCGAGTACTCAATTATGATTTAATAATATATTAATAAGATAGTGAAATCGATTTATTAGATGTTATTGAACAGTGAATTTTTAACATTTATACAACATGCGAATATAACTGTAATCTTTCTGCAATCTCTAGAAATATAAACTCATAAGACACTTCATAAGAGAACTTTATAAGAATTTTACTTTTATCGTATCTACAAAAGTTTCATATTACAAATTCTGCTGCATTAATACTTTTCTTCATCTCTGGATATATATACTGGATAATCAACTTTTTATCTTGAAGACAAAATCTCTTGAACATCAATAATAAGATAACATTACGAAAATATATTGGACAAAGAACGTTATACAAACAGCAACTTGCAATAATATCGGTTATCCATGATCATAATTAAGATATTAAGGTATTAGATGATTAGATATGAAGAATATAGTACTTGAGATACACAAGATCTAATATTTTAAATAATATTAATCTAATAACAATAAAATAATGGAAATTTCTATAGAAAATGAATATCGATGTGAATATTTTTTTCCTGTCTAAAAATCTTTTTATACTGTATTAACTGAACATTTTAAAAATAAGAACATATATTTCTGCATCAATTTAAATGTCGGTATATATATTTTAAGCTTCTTAAGCTTTATTGAAAACAAATAATGCTCATTGTGTAACATATAAATACTCACCATGGAATAAACATAAACCTATCACATTCACCAGCAAACCAAGTGCTCCAACTCCCACAAGTAGTTTGGCTTCGTGTATTTCTTCTACCTCAATGAATCTTTTACATGCCTCCACAGTAATACTAAAACATAGAGCGACCAAGAACACAGCATTTACCAAGGCTCCTAATACCTCGGCTCTCGCCCAACCGAAGGTATTCTTGGACCATTTTTTCGGCGACATCTGCAATGTAAAAAAGCTTATAAGGGATTGACACACATTATCATTACGCAACAGAGATTTAATGACTGGATTTTTCAACATAATTAAAGACAATTTCAAAGCTTACCTTTACCGAAAGAAATGCTACTACCAAAGCGGCTACATCTGATAACATGTGAAAACTGTCTGCTATTAAAGCCATTGAATTGGTTACGTAACCAACTACAATTTCTACTAAAAAAAATAAGGCTGTCAGCCATAACATTGTCAAAAGACGACATTTTTTTCCTGTATAACGACCCATGATATTTATGCAGACCTGAAAAGATATAAATGTGTATATATGTACCTGTATGATAAATATATA